AGTTTAAAACATGGTCTCAATATGTAGTTCAGGCCGGCCTCAAACTTGTGATCTTCCTGCCTCAGCCTTCCTAATACTGGGACAGTGCCTAGCTTGGCAGGCATTTTTATTTTTACATATTAATTTTTCATATATTGACAGATAAAATTGTATATTTACTCTGTACAACATGCTGTTTTGCAGGATATGTATAGTAATGCCTTTCTGCCTTGATGAAGGGGACTGGACTCAGAATATAATGCCTAAAAAACACTTACAATGTGTCAGACCCGAGCTCATCTCACGGTGTTGAGAGAAGGGATCAAATAAAACACAGCCTCTACCCTAGGGGTGTTTGTAGCTTTGGGGGGGAAGAAATATATCCTAAACTGTAGGCAGTTTGTGAATATAACTGGTTTTAGAATTAACCTCTTATTGTGAATGTACCTGGATAATGATAGGAAAGGGTGATATTATGCATCTATTGTGTTTAGTATACATTATCTCATTTAATCTTAAAAACAATTTAGTGGTGATGATGATGATGCAATTATTATCTGCATTTTACAGCTTATGAAGCAAGCTTGGAAATGTTACATTGCTTGCTCACAGTAACTCAATTATTACTTAGCACAGCTCAGACCCAGTTCTGAATCCTGAGCTGAAAGGCTCAATATTCTTACTCAGTCATCTCTTGGAAAGGCACTTCTCCATGCCCTGTAGTATCTCCTAGGAGAGAGAAAACCTGCATGTTGTGAGATTAAGGCCTGATTTTTGCTCTCATAGTAGCAAGAATAACAGTGTTAAAGTTTTCAGAAACCAGGCTTTCTCTACCCAGGTCATAATGTGCTGTTGGGAGAGGCTACTGAGTCAGTTCGCTATGTCAGTGTTGGTGGATATTTTAGCCATTTCTCCTTCCCAGCTAGAAATATGAACAGCCAAAGAGGTGTCCAGGGTGTCACTATAATTTGGATCTTAAATGTGCATGTGTTCAAGGCTCGGTCACCAGGATGGTGGTATTGGGAGTTGGGCCTGGTGGAAAGTCATTAGGTTACTTGGGCATGTATCCTTGAAAAGAATGGTAGGACCCAGCCTCCTTCCTCTCTTTCTCTTTTGCTTTCTGCTGATGAGGTGAGCAGGCTTTACTCTGCCATGGGCTCCCACCCTGAATGTACTACCTCACCACAGGTGCAAAAGCAATGGACAGAAATAATTAACTGAAACCGTGAGCCAGAATAAACTTTTTTCTTTATAACTTGGTTATCTCAGGTAATTTTTGTGGTCATGGAAAGCTAACTACCTGTGTCCCTGATATCTAGGGCACACTCTCAGGCGACTCCAGCAGCTCAGTCCTTCCTGAATCCTTCCAGAATGGACTCCTCCCCAAGGTCTGGCAGGAATTGGAACCAATTAGACTACTTGAATTTTTTCCATAACAGGAGCTTGGGGACTTCTCTGAGTCTCTCCTGTGGATTGTAAAATGGTACTCTCCTACCCATTGCTCTGGACCTCAAGGACAATAAAAAGGCCAGAGTGTCATGGAATCACAGAGGTTCACCTGTTATTCTTTTTGTTCCTGGTGTCTTCAACTGAATCTTAGGACTCAGAAAACTGAATCAGCAGGTGTCTGAGCTCAACAAGAACTGGCAGAGCTCCGAGGGAGTTGGGAATTCTGGGTGGGCAGGGTGTGCCTCTGTGTCTGGAGTTCTGCCCAAGGATTCCACATACATTCTTTATGTGTTCTGTGTTGTTTCTTTGCTTGGCCAAGGCAGACTTATGCACCTTTTCTTTGTGCATTTTGTCTGCTGTGTGTGTATGACATGTAATTAGTTCCCAGCTCTTTCCACTCCAGACCCACAGCATGCAACACTACATAGGCTCGTGTTAAACAAGAGCAGGCCATTTATGTGTGCATTTTGGGATTTCCTAATCAAGCCTATGGATCTCAACTATTTCCACACTTTCCTTTATAACTCCATTTTCATTTACGAATAGATATTATGGTTAAGTAGATGAGATTGCAGAGTCTGAGGAAGACAGATATGTTCAGCAAAGTGGGGCATCATTTTCTGTTTGCTCACGACAGCCACAGTGAGGAGGTTTTACAATCTCTACTTAGTGTATGGCCTTGCCTTCTGTCTGTGAGCTATATGTATTTATTATGTATTATGACACGTGTTTGAGACTTCTGGTGTGTGTGTGTGTGTGTGTGTGTGTGTGTGCATGTATGATGTTTCTTGCTGGATTGGGAAAAGCAAGTACATATAGTTCATATGATTTTTGTGTGAAGTATTTGACCTTGTGTTTTTATCATGTAGTATGTGTGTTGGATGTGAATTTATGTTCAAAGTATGAGTTTAAGCCTCTGATATGTCATTTTTGTGTTTCTGGTAGTGTTGTGTTTGTGATAAGACTCCACAAGTGTTTGTGTGTGTCTGCGTAAGTTATTTGTGCTTTATGTATCAAATCTTGGGCCCTTTTTGTGCGTTTTGGTTTTATGACTGTGCATAACAGGACCACACAGATACTGTCTTTTCTTTAGGATCAATGTCACTTACAGATGATAAAAAGTCACAAATCAGCGTTTAAGTGTGTGCATGTGTAACTGTGTTTGTATGTGTAACTGTTTGTGTGTGTGTGTGTGTGTGTGTGTGTGTGTGTGTGGCTGTTTCGTTTGTGTGTTTCAGGGGTTCATAATTGGCCTTTATGATCTCAAATATTTCCTTAAGGTCTTTCAACCATTATTTTCTTGAGTGGAACAGGCAGGTTCATGTTTGTTTGTTTACCATTGTGCAACTTATTTCTAATGGGTAAGAGCTCAGTTTCTGTAATAAGCCATACTTGGGCCCAGTCCTCAATCTGGCCCTGGTACATTTTCGTGTTCCTCGGAAGTGACTTAGCTCTTTGAGATCCAGTTTCCTCAAGAGTAAAGGAAGGTTAACTAGACCTACCTTTTTTTTTTCTTTGCAGTTTTAAGATTGAATCCAGAACCTTCTCAGTAAACTACATCCTCAACCCTTTTTTAAACTTTTAATTTTGAGACAGGATATTGGTTGGTTGCTAAGTTGTCCAGGCTGGACTCGAACTTGCAGTGCTCCTGCCTCCCCCTCCTAGTGTGCTGGGATTATACTAATGCACTGAAGCCCAAGTAGTCCTACTTTGTGATAATATGTTGGCCAGTAAGTGAGTCAGGGTATACAAATTATCCAGCACCATCCCTGATACATGGTAATCAGTAAAAAATAAGTAGTTTCCTTGTCTCTCCCATAATCCAATGTTTATGTCATGGAGGTTCCTTATTTTAACATTGTCTCAGGAAGAACAGTAGAAGTCAGAGAAAACTGACTTGTCCAAAGGCTTCTTTTCTCACCTCAGTACTACAACCTGACCTTCTCATGACTGAAGGGCCCATCTGCTTCTTTCCTGTGAGATCCACCTGTAGCAAGGTTCCTGGTTGGTTCTCCCTCTTGTGTTTCCTGGTGAGGAATGACAAAACATGAATCAGTGAGCTGCCAGGAGTCCCCATCAGCATCTGGCCACTGTCCTCCTTGGTGGCCATGAACTGAGATGACGTATGTGCCCGTGAAAGTCCCTGTGAACAACTTACTCTTGTGCCTCTTCATATGGTATTCCTTCTTTCAGGTATGTGTTTGGTAATCCTAACCTCCAACTAAGTTCCCAGGCAAAGAAATACTGAATCTCTTTTTTTTCTGGTAGCACGGATCAAACTTGGGTCCTTGAGCTTGCAAAGCAGGCGGCAGAATCACTGAGCTAAATCCCCAGCCCAGAAATACTGAATCTAGAATCCACTATCAATCAACTGGATGACCCTAGGTTGTTTATTTGTGGCCTGAGTGTTTTCATATCTATGGAATGAAGAAAATTATATTTACCTTGTATACCATATAGTCTCAGAATATATATTTATTTTTTTGAAAGAAGTTTAAGTGAAGAATGTGAAAGTCTTGGAAATTGCACAATGTGAGTAGTAAATTTTTCTAAAGCAAGACTTAAGGACTTTTGGATTAAGGTGGTATATATACATATATATATATACATATATATACACACATATATACATACATATATATACACATATATATATGTATATATATATGTGTGTATATATATGTATTACCTGGATATTCTGATGAATGAGGAATATGATTCCTCTTAGGAGTGATTAAGAGCATGGATTCTGTCAGGCAGATATGCATCAAGATTCCACCTGTAATAATTAATTGAACATTTCAATACTCTCATTTTTTCATTGTTAAATGGATATAATACCCATTTATTAGGGTTATGGTGAAGGTTTCAGCAGAAAGTATATAGCTGGCACTGTTATTAATTTAGTTTGGAAACCTGGCTTGGATTCTATGGGTGACAGGTAATTTTAAATGTCTCAGAACAGGCAGGATCTAGCCAATGGCACTGTAAGTCAAATACAGCTTTAGTGACTAAACCTTAGTAGTTCTATTTCAAGTTAGGGAACTTCATATTACTTTTAAAGGAAATAACTGGTAATCATCATTTCATGAAAAGAAGCTAAGTCATGCTGCAGAAATTTAGATAAATAAGTAATACTCAGCAGGTTGAAAATGACTAATACCTATTTCCTTGTTCCTAGTTCATATTTCAGAGTAAATCTCTGAGGTTTGAATTTGGCTAGATACAAAGACAGAAACTCCTTCTATGTAGAGACTTTGCATCTTATGTGCAGTACTATGCACTCAGGAAATCAGAACATGGGTGTAATGACTGGGACAATGCTTCTGCTAAATAAATACATGTTGAAGAAAGAATTAGTGACCTTTTGTTTCTTTTAAAAGACACTTATTTAATGTGAGGGTTTGATGAATCCTTGGAGCTAGAATGGGAAGATTTATGATTCATGCACCAAATGTGAGAAATAAACAGAAGTAGAGCTAAGAATTTTCACACCAGGAAGGAAATTACTATAATGTTATGGCTGTGTTCACTGTCATCTTTCACTTTCTCCCATTCCAGACAGAGAGCAGAGCAGTATGAAAAAGGAGAACCAGAGCTGTGTGTCCGAGTTCCTCCTCCTGGGGCTCCCCAGCCAGCCAGACCATCAGGCTATGTTCTCTGCCCTGTTTCTGGTCCTGTACCTGACCACGGTGCTGGGGAACCTGCTCATCATCCTGCTCATCAGGCTGGACTCCCGCCTCCACACCCCCATGTACTTCTTCCTCAGCCACCTGGCCTTCTCTGACATTTCCTTTTCCTCTGTCACAGTTCCAAAACTGCTGATGAATATTCAGGCTCAGCAGCAATCCATCTCCTATGAGGAGTGCATTTCTCAGATGTATTTTTTTGTTCTTTTTAGCTGTCTTGACAATTTCCTTCTGGCAGTGATGGCCTATGACCGGTATGTGGCTATCTGTCGTCCACTGCACTATGTTTCTGTCATGAGAGAGGGGCTATGTGTCTTGTTAGTAGCTGGGTCCTGGTTTTTCTGTTGTGGCCATGCCCTGTTGCACACCCTCCTCTTGGTCCAACTGTCCTTCTGTGCTGAAAAAATCATCCCCAACTTCTTCTGTGACCTCACTGCTCTCCTGAAGCTGAGCTGCTCAGACATCTCCCTCAATGAGCTGGTCATCTTCACCGAGGGAGGGATGCTGTTCATCTTGCCTTTGAGCAGTATTCTGGGCTCTTACATCCGTATAGGAACCACTGTCCTGAGGGCGCCCTCCACTAAGAGAATCTACAAAACCTTTTCTACTTGTGGTTCCCATCTCTCTGTGGTGTCTTTATACTATGGGACAATTGCAGGTGTTTACTTTTTCTCCTCATCACAGGATTCCAGTGACAAGGACCTAATTGCATCTGTCATTTATACAGTAGTAATACCCATGCTCAATCCCTTCATCTACAGCCTGAGGAACAGAGACATAAAACAGGCCCTTGAAATGTTTGTCTATAAGGTCAATTTCCATAAATGACACTAATTCCATTTATTTCAGTCAAGAGCTCTGTGAAGTATATTTCCTAAAATTATTGTATAGTTGGCTACTCCATACAATGTTTGGTTTTTATGTTCAGTGCTATTAATATGTCAGGTAGATCAAATTTGTTTTTTGGGTTATTGTATCTTTTGCATTCTTAATAAATTTTTGCTTATTTATCATCTATTGTAAGATGTATAAAATTTTGTGTGTAACATGTTGAACCATTATAACTGTGGATTTGTCTTTTTCTCCTTTCAGATATATCATGTGTCATTTATGTATTTTTAAAACTTTGTTATAGAGGACACATCAACTTAGCATTATGATTTATTTCAGGTGGACTGACTGAGGTAGTTGTGTGCTGAAATGGGCCAAAGTTCATTATGATTATCCCTTCCCAGCTCTTTTTGGACAATTGTGTTGGTACTTTGAAATCAGCCATCGTGGGAATAATTACACTATAGAAATGTCAAATCCTAGAGACAGTCATTATTTATTTAGCAGTACACCATTGCATTCATAATTAGAAAATATTTCACTTTGTAACAGCACATGGGAAATACTGACAGGCACCCAGGACTTGGACACAGAAGCAAACTTGATTTACATCGATGGACCCGTTTTGGATAATTCCTCAGAGAACCAGGTGCTGTCTTTCTGTCTACAGTTTATGTAGGATTTGCAAGTAGGAACTAGTCCAGAAGCAAAGCAGTCAGTTGATTGGTTACACACATAATTGTTATTACTGATTGGTCTCTAGCGAGGTCAAACTCAGGGTACACATATTTGGAGCAAGCATCAGTTTTGGGTAGTGTCTGCCAAGGAGGAGCAGATAAGAAAGACATGTAGCTATAGTGGGCATCATATACAGCACAGTGCATTCCAGAAGGGGTTTAAGTCCCAGAGAGAGACAGGGAGTTATGCTCTTGGTGGTAGTAACACATTTCATGGGGAGTTATGTGCCTGGCAGTGCTAGTAAGAAAATATGTGCTTACGGTAATCATTCACCACAGGCCACAAGGTCGTAGAGTTTTTTACTCCATTTTCAGATTAACCAGTACTCCGCTTTTCCTTTTCAACTTAATCTTTATTGATGCCGTCTACCTTAACATCTCACCTACTTTTGATATTTTCATCGATATACCAGTTATTTTAGGGTTAGTGATTACATGGTATTTCTTTTCCATCATTTTACTTAAACTACTCTGTGAAATTGTCTATGTGAAAAGTTCACTGTAAACAATATAAAGCTGAGTCTTTATCTCTTATGTACATTATTACTTTCCTTCCAAACTTTGTAAACTGTATTTATATTTAGCGTAATCATGATATATTTGAGTTTATATTTTCCTTTTCACTTTTCATCTTTTATTAGAACAGGTTTGCGGTACATAGTGATTACATTCCTTGGGTGGAGTTGGTACGTGTACATAATGCATTTTAATTCTTGTTTCATCTTTGTTCTCTCCTCTACTCCCAGAAAGGAAAAACATAAGTTTATACTTTCCATATTTCTGTTTACTATTTGGGACACTTGTTTTCCATTTTCCTCTGCATTTGATTAACTAAAATATGTTTTTGTTACTCCATTCTCCCTTATTAATTTGTTCATTACGCAGTATTATTATTATTATTATTATTATTACTATTATTATTATTATTTTACTTTATGGGTACTTTTTGTAGAGATTGTTTTTTGCTTTCTGTTCAAAAAATTTGAAAGCAGGCCTGGCGTATTATGGGATGCAGAGGATGAATGGAGCAGAGATGTTGGGCAGACCCGGCTCTGTCTGGAGGCGCCGCCCCAGCCGCGCTGCGTGCGTCGCCTTCCTACAGGAGCTGAGCCTTGGAGGCTGTGCCAGCGAGGTGAACAGCTTCCTTCTAGAGGAGATAATGGACACTGGCATGAGTTTAGCGGATGCGGAGAGCATTGCAGCTGTTATTGTTTCATCCTCACTTCCCTCGGAGACAGAACCGGCAGAAGTTGTCAGCATAAACTCTACTGGGGACTGCAGCCACGCACACTTCCACGGAGCCCGTCAGTGTCCACTAACCACACTGACCACGCTGCAGTGAACACCGCAGTTACTAGAGCAGATGCGAGGACCACAGTGAAACCAGCTTTTCCAAGTGACCTTCAAAAACTTGGTGCTCAGACGCCTGTGACTGTTATCAACTGATCAGATCATTTTAAATAAAGTATCACAGACATCCGGGCTCGAACTTGGCAATCAGACCCTTAAGCCAGGTGGACAAAAATTAATTTCAACAACTTCAGGCAAGTCTGGTTCATTAGTTGTTTCTGCAGTACCCCACAGCCAACTACCCCAGGCTCAGGAAGTTGCAACTCAGGCTTAGGCTGGAGATGCAAAGTTACCACCGCAGTAAATTAAAGCAGTTACCCCTGGAGAAAGGCCCAAGGGGAAACTTGTTATTGACGTCTCTGCACTGACCCCAGGAAGCCAGTGATTAATCTTGCAACTCAGTCCTCCTTGGTTCAGACCCAGCCCTTAAAAACAGTACAGCTTGTAAAGCTGATCTTTGCAAAACCAATTAAAAATTGATACAACACAATAAAAATTAAAAAGAAAAATTCAACTTAGAAGGGGTATAAGTAGAATTAACTAAGATTTGAAGTGCATTAATTTCCTTATTTAACATTTCTTCTCTTTCAGCATTATAATTTCAGGGGTCTAAAAACAAGGACTAGGTCTGGGAATTTAGCTCAGTGGTTCTGGAGCCTGACTCGCAAGCTCAAGGACCTGAGTTCAATCCCCAGTACCAAAAACCAAAAAAACCCACCACAAACAAACAAAAAAAGGACTAAGCTAAAATACAATAATCGTTAACTTATCCAGAAAACCAAGTGCCCCTGCACCCTATATTTTCTGTACAGTTCCATTCGTCGGTCTTTTACGTAGGAGTCAGCAGTTCGTGGCTCAAGAACTTTTCTTAGCGACGCTCCTCAGGAAGCTGCTGCATGTTCCACTCCACCGCTGCCTCTGACTTCCCCTGTCTGCTTGCGGGCAGGCAGTTACATGTAGCTTGTAGCTTGGTATCTTCGTCTACTTCCTTGGTGACAAAGGTAAAGGGCAACTTTCTTCCTCCCCTGTTCAAAGCTGGCGCTGGCCTAGTGAACAGGCTGGAAATCTGAGAAGACAGCTTGGTCTTGGCCGCCCTCTGCTGCCTGCTTGCCCTGACTTCAGCTGCACCTGCCAAATGCATGGGTGTCTTTCTTCAGAACCCCAAGCAGTCATCCTTTGCTTCTCGGTTAGAATATATGCAGATGGAGGGGCCAGGTAAATTCCTATGGCATGTATTCAAATGGCATTCTGTGTTTCAAAACGCACTCTTTAAGAAAAGCCAGCTTTTAAAATTCTTTTGGAAAAATACCCAGCAGAGGTATGACTTTTTAGGCTCAATTCTGGAATAACAAAGAGGAAGCAATCCCCAGGCACAATTTTAAAATAAAAATTGTTTTTCACACACACACACACACACACACGAAGACACAGTAAATAATTTTCAGAATGTACGCAGTGTGTTTCTAATGAGGAACAGCTAACAGTGCTCTGATCTGTCTCCTTTTTCTTTCAGAGGGGCATGTGTTGGAAATAAGTTGTGAAAGTGATTAACAGCTATTAGTAAAGGGAGGTGTGTGTCTGTAAGTAAAGATTATGCAGAGATGTCATAGAACCTCATATAATTATCAAGTATAAAATTTAGCTTGGATGGAGAAATAAAGAATATTGAAGCTGTAAGAGATGAATTTGATGAAGATTTTTTCTCTAAACAGTTCTCTTTGTAGACTTTTGTACTAAGAACTTTCAGACCAATATGTGACTTCTACTTGATTTGCTGAAATAGGTCTCCTAACAAAGATTGAAATGGAATTTCTTTTTATAAGGAAAGTTTGCTATGACATTGTTTTTTGCCAGTGATTTGCTGAGGTGAAAGTATGTGTGTTTTCATGTAATTGGTAAAATAGGCTATATCATTTTCAGTAATTAAGCTATAAACTTAAGAGCATACTGTAGTAGGACTCTTGATTTTATGACAAAATGTTGAAATTCAAGCATTTTGTTAGGTACTTTAATCCTCAGTAATTATCAGTATGTATGATTATTACGTTTCCTACCAGGACTCTATAGTTGTATGTATTGTGTATAGGTGTTCACATGAACATGCATAATTTAGGCAATTGGAATTAAGCAATCCAAAAGAGAATTCTGTTACTCATTAAAGTATCACCCTTTTGAAATCTGCATTTATGAATGTCTAGTGCAGGGCTGGGGATATAGCTCAGTAGTTCAGCCACTGGCTTTACAAGTGCAAGGACCTGAGTTCAATCTCTGGTACCAAAACAAAAAGTCTAGTGCAGTAACTTTAAATGTAGACAGTGTGGACATTCTTAGCACCTTAATCTAGTATGCCTGATTAAAATTTGTGTAAATGTAAATTAGTGTAAGAGGATAAAATAATATCTAATCAAGTCATTTTTCAAAAAGTTGCAGTAAAGTTTTTGGTCTGAACCAAAGCTCTATTAATTTTGTATATGTGCTCTGTTAATTCTAATTGCACCATTGTGATGTGTATTGATATACAGCCCACAGAAATGCTTGTGAAATTTTGATTTCAGTTGTAGGTTATGTATGATGGCATTGCTTAAGAATGTTTTGCTTCTAAAAATTTGAAGATGCAATCAAATTCTACCAGTTTTTAATTTTCAAGAGGCTATCTAAACTATTTAGCCCTTTTTCTTCCTGGACAGTACTTACTAAACAACTTTTTGTGTTTAGGCATTTGTATTAAACTGCTGAACCAGATTAATAGCCACACTCATTCAGTTATTTTAAAAGACTCTTTGGGGAAAGTTGGGTATATAACTTTTTAGCCCTATTTGCAGCTTGAGTTAGAATGATTAAATTTGTATTTACTAGAGCTTTTCAAATAATACACTTTTCTATATTGCAAAAACAGGACAGGAAAGTAAA